CATGCGCAGAACTTTGGCCAAGGAGTCTAAACTCCATTTTCACATCTTTTTTGTGATATTTTAACACGGCAAGCAATTTTACATTTGATTTTGTAAGAGTAGGAAATGTTACTTCAAGTAGCCTAGTCGTTGAAGTTTTTCCTCATCAGAAATTTACAACAACCCTGTTTTCGGGAAGGCAGCAAAAATCCATTATGAGTTTTCACTTTTTTTTTTTTTGGTTAACTTTCAAGGCCAAACTTGTATGGGACAGAAAAACACTGCAGCAATTACAGTAACTAGTGAGATAATAGTTAAATAATTCCCTCAAAACATCCATCATGGCATTTTTTTGCTTTTTGGCAGAAGAAACTTCAATTTCAGTTTTATGACTCCCAAACGTACGCCTCTGAGTCCTTATGGTTGGGATTGTAGTTTTTTTTTCCCCCGTAAATGACTAGTGAGGAGTTCAGGCACGGGTGGATGGAGTTATTCGACTGGCTGCCTGACGTTTTGGGGTTACAGCGCCAGCAGTTTGCCCATTTCTTTTCTCTTTTGATAACACGCTTTGATAAACCGGCCGTATAGTCCCATGAGTTGCGCCTTTGACAAAGTGCTTTCACTTTTTGAACTTTCCACGGCCACGCCTCCGCAGCATGACTCAGCTGGTTCCCGACTTGTTCGCCAAACCACAACACCGCAAGTGAAGTGATCGCGAGCGTTAAGACGTTAACGGGCTAACCTCCTTCGGTCGCTCGTCGGTGGCGTTTCCTCCGTCGGCAGACGGCCAGACGGGGAACCTAATTGGAATTATCTGCCGATGAGGCCATAAAGTAGCTGCTGGTGTGGCTTCTGTATACAAACAAGCAAGGATTCTTTTTCTCTTCACCGTGTCTGTCATGATGCAATCTGACAGACCCTGTTTGGTTTTTTTCTCCCTTTTGTTAATCTTTGCAATGCAAATGACTTCTGAAGCCAGTCCTCTCGGCCATCATTTCCTTATCGCCACTGTTCTGTCCATTTCCATCATTCCTAAAATGACAGTACAATTTGTCCGTGGGGCTAATTTTCAACGGAACGCATTTTTTTGGAACGGCTTTGTTTTCCCCTCGGGTACTATTGTGCCTCTTGACTCCCACAAGAGAAATCAAGATTTAAATCAAAAAGATTGGAATTTTCGATTTGTTGCCCTAGGATCCAAATGGACTGAATGACGCCATACCAACTGCACTTGCAATCCAATCTAAAGTTATGCAAATTATTAGCCACACCTTGAAAACTCTATCACTGATTAACTCACTGCCCTACTCACTGGCAAACTAACTAAATGAATAAATCGACGGTTAACTGATTTATTGACTGAGTAACAGGCTGGTTAATTGACTAACTAACTAACTAACTAGCGGACTGACCAACAAATTGGTTAGCCAATGGACAAACCAAGTAGTCCACGAACTAACAAACGGATGGAGTCACTAACTAGTAGACCTACTGACTGACTAACTAACTAACCAACCAAATGACTAGTTGACACATGGACTAGCTAACTAAATGACGATTGGACTGACTGAGAAATAACTCACCAACTAACAAGCTGACTGAGTGACCAACTAACTGACTCGCCAACCAGGTAACTAAATGACTGACTGAATTACTAATGACTTACTGAATAACTAATCGACTGACTGGTTCATTGTTGGACAAAAACCTAAATGATCGATGTCAATAATTGATGGACATATGACACATTGGTTCACTGACTGATTAAATGCCTGACTAACTGGTTAACTGAAGGACCGACTAAGCAGCTCACTGACTAACAGATTGAGCGACTGACAAACTAACTGACTGACTGACCAACAGACTGACAAATTGCCTGACACATTAACCAAATAAATGACTGACTGCATCGTTAACTAACTGACTGAAGAACAAACAATTAAGAGACTGAGTGAAAAAGTACAAGAAAGAATCAAATAAATTATTGACTGACTAATTGGCTTCCTGAGTATCCAACTAAATGCCTGACAAGCCAACTAAAGAAATAAGTGATAAAGTGACTGGTTGTCACATACAAGTTGTTGGAATCTTGGCTCCGTTCCCACCATTGTCCCACGACAGTACACACACACACACACACACACACACACACACACACACACACACACACACACACACACAGAAAACAAGCACACACAGTCGCAGCTCAGGTGGTAGAGTGGTCATTTCCCACCAGAAGGGTTGTGGGTTCAAGGTCCAAGTGTCCTTGAGCAAGATTGTGAACCCCTGGTCGGTCCTGATGTTGTGTTTGGGGTCAGTCGGTGAATTGAGGATTTGTTGCTGTTTAAATAGAACAAATAAAAGTCCAACCACTGCTTTGTAGAGCGAGAGAGCAAAAAAAGGGTGTGCAGTTGCGTAAGTGTCTGGCACGGAGCCAAGTTGGAGTCCTAGCAGCAGAGGGTCCGCTGGAAGGAGCTCCTTTTGGCCGTCATCCAACATGGAGGCCTCCTCCTCATCGGTTTATATAACAAGTCGGTTCCACCTGGACCGCGCTCAAAAAACGTAGCTTGTGTGTCCCAGCCTCGCCGTGGAAATGACCTCGGCAAGCCAAGCGGGGAAACAAAAGTCACTTTTCACAGGTTGGGAGGAGATGTGGAACATTCCACAACATGTTGGTTCCATGCCGTTTACGCTCGACGTGGCCTTTTGGACATGCGCAGAACTTTGGCCAAGGAGGCTAAACTCCATTTTCACATCTTTTTTGTGATATTTTAACACGGCAAGCAATTTTACATTTGATTTTGTAAGAGTAGGAAATTTTACTTCAAGTAGCCTAGTCGTTGAAGTTTTTCCTCATCAGAAATTTACAACAACCCTGTTTTCGGGAAGGCAGCAAAAATCCATTATGAGTTTTCACTTTTTTTTTTTTTGGTTAACTTTCCAAGGCCAAACTTGTATGGGACAGAAAAACACTGCAGCAATTACAGTAACTAGTGAGATAATAGTTAAATAATTCCCTCAAAACATCCATCATGGCATTTTTTTGCTTTTTGGCAGAAGAAACTTCAATTTCAGTTTTATGACTCCCAAACGTACGCCTCTGAGTCCTTATGGTTGGGATTGTAGTTTTTTTTTCCCCCGTAAATGACTAGTGAGGAGTTCAGGCACGGGTGGATGGAGTTATTCGACTGGCTGCCTGACGTTTTGGGGTTACAGCGCCAGCAGTTTGCCCATTTCTTTTCTCTTTTGATAACACGCTTTGATAAACCGGCCGTATAGTCCCATGAGTTGCGCCTTTGACAAAGTGCTTTCACTTTTTGAACTTTCCACGGCCACGCCTCCGCAGCATGACTCAGCTGGTTCCCGACTTGTTCGCCAAACCACAACACCGCAAGTGAAGTGATCGCGAGCGTTAAGACGTTAACGGGCTAACCTCCTTCGGTCGCTCGTCGGTGGCGTTTCCTCCGTCGGCAGACGGCCAGACGGGGAACCTAATTGGAATTATCTGCCGATGAGGCCATAAAGTAGCTGCTGGTGTGGCTTCTGTATACAAACAAGCAAGGATTCTTTTTCTCTTCACCGTGTCTGTCATGATGCAATCTGACAGACCCTGTTTGGTTTTTTTCTCCCTTTTGTTAATCTTTGCAATGCAAATGACTTCTGAAGCCAGTCCTCTCGGCCATCATTTCCTTATCGCCACTGTTCTGTCCATTTCCATCATTCCTAAAATGACAGTACAATTTGTCCGTGGGGCTAATTTTCAACGGAACGCATTTTTTTGGAACGGCTTTGTTTTCCCCTCGGGTACTATTGTGCCTCTTGACTCCCACAAGAGAAATCAAGATTTAAATCAAAAAGATTGGAATTTTCGATTTGTTGCCCTAGGATCCAAATGGACTGAATGACGCCATACCAACTGCACTTGCAATCCAATCTAAAGTTATGCAAATTATTAGCCACACCTTGAAAACTCTATCACTGATTAACTCACTGCCCTACTCACTGGCAAACTAACTAAATGAATAAATCGACGGTTAACTGATTTATTGACTGAGTAACAGGCTGGTTAATTGACTAACTAACTAACTAACTAGCGGACTGACCAACAAATTGGTTAGCCAATGGACAAACCAAGTAGTCCACGAACTAACAAACGGATGGAGTCACTAACTAGTAGACCTACTGACTGACTAACTAACTAACCAACCAAATGACTAGTTGACACATGGACTAGCTAACTAAATGACGATTGGACTGACTGAGAAATAACTCACCAACTAACAAGCTGACTGAGTGACCAACTAACTGACTCGCCAACCAGGTAACTAAATGACTGACTGAATTACTAATGACTTACTGAATAACTAATCGACTGACTGGTTCATTGTTGGACAAAAACCTAAATGATCGATGTCAATAATTGATGGACATATGACACATTGGTTCACTGACTGATTAAATGCCTGACTAACTGGTTAACTGAAGGACCGACTAAGCAGCTCACTGACTAACAGATTGAGCGACTGACAAACTAACTGACTGACTGACCAACAGACTGACAAATTGCCTGACACATTAACCAAATAAATGACTGACTGCATCGTTAACTAACTGACTGAAGAACAAACAATTAAGAGACTGAGTGAAAAAGTACAAGAAAGAATCAAATAAATTATTGACTGACTAATTGGCTTCCTGAGTATCCAACTAAATGCCTGACAAGCCAACTAAAGAAATAAGTGATAAAGTGACTGGTTGTCACATACAAGTTGTTGGAATCTTGGCTCCGTTCCCACCATTGTCCCACGACAGTACAAGTCACGTATGGCCTTGACACGCATGCAGCAATTAAACGATTGCATTTTTTTTCAACATGCGTTTCAATGTCATAGCTTGTTTTCATAATAGTAATTACTATTGAATGTAAAATGAAGGTGGGCGTGGATACCGGAGCCAAAAATAAATCTGCTGATTCAAGCATTCAGGAGAGCATATTAAGTACAGTAGCATCGTGATCAGAGTTACATAATCATCATGACATGTACAGTCCAATGCAAAGCTATTATTTCTCTTGTAAATTGCAACACGTCACGTGCACGGTGTGTGATACTGCGCAATGTTATTACATTTTTTTATACATATTTTTTTTTCTAAAATAAATGGAGTATTTACTTCGTAAAGTGTGTTAGTAGGGTACATAAGAAAAAAAAAAGCCCACGAGCCACTCACTCACGCATGCGCAACTGGGCCAGAAACACCATTGTGTGGATTTCTTGCGCATGCGCAACTCAAAAAGGCCAAGCCAGCCATCATAGTAGCGATAACCACTCACCGGTATTTCTCGGTCTCGTACTTTCTTCTACTTGTTCCACTACAGAGAAGCAAGGATGTTCGTCTTCTTGCCTCCCTCCCGGTCAGTCGCTTGTCTGCCGTCTCGTTGCTGTCTTTATTGGACGTGGACGAGCGGCGTGAAGGTGGCCGCCCGCCGCCGCACATTCACACATTATATAGCACCATGAGCGGTCGTGCCGCTATCCAATCAGCGGCGACTTGGGACCGTGCCCCGCCCCTCATCCGTTGCTATGGTTAATGAAGATCGTCGATCATAAAGAAGAAGCTCCACCACATCGTAAAAGAGAGCGTAAAAAAAGCGAACATATACAGTAGTACCCTACAGAGAGAGAGAGAAAAGCTTGAAGAATAAAAAAAACTCAAAAAATGCCACCCCCTTACATACACATATATACATATATATATATATATATATATATAGAGAGAGAGAGAGAGAGAGAGAGAGAGAGAGAGAGAGAGAGAGAGAGAGAGAGAGAGAGAGAGAGAGAGAGAGAGAGAGAGAGAGAGAGAGAGAGAGAGAGAGAGAGAGAGAGAGAGAGAGAGAGAGAGAGAGAGAGAGAGAGAGAGAGAGTTTTTACACATAGATGGTCAGGTTTTGACTGTTTTGCAATTGTTTAGCTTTTTTTTGAGAATCAAGTCCTTAGCACAGTGCGCTGGTTGGCACGTCTGCCTCACAATTCTGAGGTCTTCCTATGTGCAATTTGTATGTTGCTACTGTACTGTTTGCGCTGATTTCAGCATTTACTCCAGGTTCATTGACCACTAAATTGCCCAGTAGAGTAAATGTGAGTGTGAATGGCTGTGTGTAGATACAGAGAAGGGGTCAAGGGTCATATAAAGGTACCCACCCAGACATGCCCACCCAATTTTAAGTCAGTCAGGAGCCCCTGACGGTGTTTCCCACTTTCCCAAAATCCTCAAAATGATCATCAAATTTTGAAACTGCTTCAAACCAAAATGGCTGACTTCCACGTCGATGGATCTCCTGAATCCTTGAGACTTTTTCATCCATCCTGTTATGATGAACATTCCCACACATATTCGTGTCAATCAGAAAAACTGGTGCTGGGCTATTTTTTTTTTCTAACTTTCTGAGAACCGTCAAAATGATCATCAAATTTTGATGCTGCTTCAAACCAAATTGGCCGACTTCCAGGCCTGCAGCTTTAGGAAGATGGTTGTGTTGAGGACCCCGAATAATTCAATGCAAATGTTGAACATGAAGCGGGTTGTTACTGTCAGCTCAAATCATTGCCAATCGTTTTAACATTGGTGGAGATCAAGTCCAAGTTAATGAAATGGAGATGTCTGTACTCTAACCACTGCCTGATATCAGATGATACAGATAACCATCGTATAAGATGCAGAACAGAATGTACAGAAAGCCTGTTGCCCTTCAGCAGTGAAACACATGAACATGTCGACGTGGTAAATTTTACCCAGCCCCATGTGTGCTCCAGGGAATTTAATGCATTTGTGTATTTGAACACATTCTTGAGGTTTGCGTTGTTTGCCTGGGGATTTTTAATTTGTTGTGATCCTCCACATCAAGTCTATCTATCATCGCAGGCGTGTATTCAAGTTATTTTGCGCTGTGCGACGCTTTCGTGTCCCCGTTTTTGACAGGAATGCAGCGATATCGACGGCTCCGTTATGTTACGGGCTAGCCGCTTGTGACTCATCATCAAAAGAGAGTGGCTTTGATTTGGGTGTTTTGTTTGAATGGTTTTACCGAGTACTCTAAGCTGTAGCTCGTATTTACCTACTATTTGTGAAAAAAAAGGACTAATTTCAAACGTGATCTCTGGTTTGGTGCATTTGACTCTCAGGAAAAGGATTCAAGTTGATCCACCTTTTGATCTCGCCAATCTAGCAAATGCTGCAGATGAACTGGTTTGTCACAACGATTAGAGTAAGTGTTTACGGAGTGGTCAGTCGCAACAAGGAAGTCCTTTCGCTTTGCATGCCTCGACTACACCATTTGTTTACTCGCCTCGGGGTTGACGTCAACCTTGTTGAATGATTGCGTTCTAAGCAAAGCAAGATATTTGGCCAATATTTGATCTTTTAATAGAAAGTTCTGCCACAATTCTCCCAAATTTAAATGTTTCACAATCACCCATTCGTCCAACTCTCGAGGACAAGTTCCTCTCTTACGTCCAGGTGGAAGTGCCTAATCGACCGTGAAATGGTCACGTTGACAACAAAACGGTTGTGTTGGTTTTACGCCCACTATGTCCTTGAGATATTTTTGTGGGTTAACTCTTGACAGATATGAATCCCAAATGTCATGCGGCTTCGTGAGACTGGCCTCGAGTGCTAGATTTGAATTTTCAAAAAAACTCTCAAACAAGTTAGACTCCTGCAAGTGGCCAAAATTGCTGGGGGGTTTTTTTTGATAGATTTTTTTGTGGGGCTATTCATGACAGACATGCTTGCCAAATTGTGTAAATTCTGTGTTTCAGAGGAAACTGGCTTCAGGTGCTGCATTAAAAAAAGATTTAAAAAATCTCTTGGACCAATTCGTCATTGTACGACCCTAAATAATTTATGGCATGGGTCCAAGAGTTATTTTTGTGGGTCTTCTCATGATAGAAACGCCTACCAAGTGATACTGACTTCTTGCGCTGAATTTCCTCAAAATATCGAAGACAAGTTCCACAACAAAATGGCCTTAAAATGGCTGCCCTGCTATCATTATTTCCCGGTATTTGAAGTCCTTGGTTCTCGAAAGATTCTAATCAGATTAGTTCAAAAAGTCGAACCCTCACCCGTTAAATGCCTCCACACCCCAATGCCGCTCCTTCCTACGGCGTGGATTAAGATATTACATAAATAATCCTTTTATAAAAGGATCATTGTGACTGGCTGGAAATGATGACATCATTGCTGACTGCCGCCACACGTTCGGCGTGTACAGCGACTTACAGTATTTCACATTGTTTTTCTTCATTTCCTGTTCGTCCTTTTGCCATTTTCCCCTGGCGCCACGCGACGTGTCGCAATTTTTACTGTCACTTTTGCAAGATTCCAGCTGATAGTTGGCAGTTAATTATTAAGGAGTAATCGTCTTGTGTTCTTCCACACCGCACTCATTTGCGGTATGGGCTTGATGAAATGTTATTACTGGTCGTAAATTACAACATATGATAAAAATCATATCAAGCAGAATTCACAACCAGCTTCTGGTTGTGCCTTCTACAAGCTTGAACCTGAACTTGCAGACTTATTTGCTTGAACCCTTTCAGGGCCAGCGGTTACTAGAGTAGACAGCTTATCATGTCATCAGGTAACAGGGTGCACGAGAGGGTTAAGGCATGATTTTTTTGGGTGGGCCGACTCATGATAGACACAAATTTCAAGTTGCGGAGTCGAACTTTAAGGCATGATTTTTTTGGGTGGGCCGACTCATGATCGACACGGCGACCAAATTTCAAGTTGCGGAGTCGAACTGAATTTGGTGGCTAAATTTTCTCAACGTCTCCCCAAGAGGCTTGTTCATCTTTCGGCTGGTGTTCGCCGAGGCACAGTAAATACTTGTGTGAGTGAGATTGAGCCTGCTCTCTCCGTTGCTTACGTAAGTAAGCCCTGTGTGAAAGCTGCTGTGAAGTGAGGTGACAAATGAGAAAGAGGAGGCTTGTTTGGGCATTCTTGAGGGTCAAAGGTACAGTATGTCGGCGTCCCACCTGTCGTCACTCTTGATCCTCTCCAAACACGGCAGTCAACAGTGTTGCTAAGGGAACTTGGCTTTCAAGTGGAACCATTTTGTCAGAAACATCAGCAGACGTAACGTTTCTGTGTCATGTTCCACTGAGCTGCTTTCCCCCGGAACGGTTGGACGCCGCCCCGCGGACTCTTCCTCCAGATGTCTTTTGACATTCGAGTCTGAAATATGCAGCATGAAATCTGAGTGCGGCGGTTTTCCGAGGACGTTGACTCTCCAGTGAAAGCGCTTCACCTCAATGTATAGCGACATGCAGATACCCAAGCTCCGGGCACTTCATTTTACGCCTGGTACGGCATGAATAGCCTGCGAGTGACTGGCGACCTGTCTACAGATCTCTCGGTGTGCCCTGGGGTTGAACAATCAATTGATTCTCTTTATGTTCCATGTGATTGACCAATCCATAGTTTGCCATTTGAAATTGACCTGTCAATTAGGGATGGGCGAGTACCGATACCAGATATCGCTATCGGGCTGATACCGGCTGTATTTTAAGGTATCGGGTCCTGAATGAACATTTTAAATATCAAAAGTACGACAGATATTGGTACTCTTGGTCCTGAATGAACATTTTAAATATCAAAAGTACGAGATACCAGATATTGGTACTCGGTAGCACTGAGTACCCAAAGAGTGAATACTTGTACTGGTATCGGTCTGAAAAAAAAACCTAAGTGGTATCGAACATTCCTAATATCAATTCACTGTTTGTCTGTTCAGTGCGGTTAGTTTGTGCCCTGCGGTTGACTGGCAACCATTCACAGGTTTCTCTCCATCTACTCTGTGACTTACTGGCAAACAACTCCTTGTTTTTATACTCTATTTGCCTGATTGACTGCCAATCAATCCATAGGTTGTCTATATATACTGTAAATCCACTTTGACTGACCGGCGACCGATCTCCAGCTTGCCCGCATGTGTGCGCTGTGAAAGTGGACAGTTGGCCTCGAGACAAAAATCTGTAGGTGACAATTCAAGTTGACGTGGTCAAATTAGGCAGACACCGTTGTGTAAACTCACTCCCAGCCCATTCAAATGCATGACGGACCAATGCGATGTCATTGCGCCCAACAAAATGTCCTCCACCCCTCAATTTGTATAGCTCCGCTCACACTCTCACACACGCATGCACGCACACACATGCACGCGCACACACACAAACGTGTCTAGACATACTCACATCTTTGATCCTATGACCCTGTGTCAGCAAGGAGGACAGACACAAATCCCTGACTCATTTGAACTCGTTGACCTCCGTACTTGAAACGCATTGCCTGTTACTTTTCCTTCCCTTTTCTATCGTCTTTTTCTTTTCTTTTTTTTTCATTGGTATTCCACTTGATGAATATATATACAGTTCTCATCTGTTTGCTTTAAAACAAAACAAAAAAAAAAAACAAACAAACCGTGAATTCATAACAGACGGCATTATGTGGTAAAATGAGTTTTACTTTTTGGAAGGGAAATGTTTTTGCATATAAAGTGGCTATAAAGTAGACAGACACAAAGAGAAAGGTATTGTAAACCCTGCCAAATGTCTATGATTAAAATAAATATGTATATAAATATAAATGTAATATAAAAATAAATGCCAAAGCATGAGGTTTCAAAATACTGAAAAATCAACCCGTTCCCTCCCCTCTCAATCACGATGGGCAGATCCGCCAAATGCCCTGAAACCACACCCCACTCAACTGTCAATCAAATCCCTCTACGATGACCTAGAAAAATATATATCCTGCCACTTCTTCACAGGCTTTCGCCACTTGTGACAACGAGGCGCTCTAAGCAGCCAGGTCAGCGGAATATCTGAAACATTTTAATCTGACATTGTCTATTCAGTCCATCATTTGCCAAAATGTAATATATTTATCTTCATCCATTTTACATAAAAATGCCCCCAGGCAGCTTTGGTGGACAGCACAGCAGCGGTTGGACAAAGTGCAGGTCAGCAGATGATTTACAAACTCAATTGAAGTCATAACAATGAACACGCCTAAGAGGAGGAATGGGGAGGGGGGGGGGGGGGGGGACTGCACGCCATCAGGTGTTCGCTTTCCCTAAACATATAGGAGAAACTTTTCCACAGGAACAATGTCACCACAGAGAGCCATTCAAGAATTTGTGTGGTCGTAAAAAACAAAACACGGCCTTCAGGGAATGATACGGGTCATAAACAATGGGCTACAGCTTTTATTGACATCGTGTGACTATTGTTTTTTTCACACACACGCAGTGACCCGGATCGCACGATCATGTGATGATGTGTTGTACTCTTACCTCCTCAAAAGCGTCTTTCCTTCCGTCTTTGGTGTGGTTCATCCGATTTGCTGTGCAGGGTGATGACGTTTTCACCTGTAAACAGCAGAGGGGGAAAAACACTTTTGAATTGAGTTTATTAAAGGTTCATGCCCAGCGGGAAACACTGAATGAAGGCAAGAATGTACGAAGTTAACGATAAAACTGCATGAAAGGGAAAGCATACCGGAAAAAGTCCATCCCAAAAAACAAGGCGTTGCCTAAACGGCAAGAGATGAATATTTGTGTATGTATATATTTTGAATAAATTTAATGAATTATTTAAAAAACACAGCACATGGGGGGGGGGGGGTCAATTTGTAAGTTTCATGTTTTGAAATGTTTCAAGTGGCTTGTCAGCACGTCGCAAGGCTTTGGCCTCGTATGGCGAATTAATGCAAAATGTATATATTTAAAATACTAATACAAAATATTCACTCAAACATAATGTCGGAAGCAGAAAAAAATTGTTTGAAATATATACCAAACAAAGAAAGGACCATCCTTATTTTCTTCTTATGTATTAGTGAAATTGTATTATTTATAAGGGGAAATTACAGTACCGGTATGTATTAATAGTGAACATAACCTACCGATATATATTTATGACTGAAAATTTAATATTAAATAATACATAGCTACCGAGAGAAAAAAAAAGTACCAAAACATAACAGTACAAAGTTAATAATGACTTAATTTCCCTCACATAAAGTCAAATTAATTATAAGCTGGTTATGTCAAAGCAAACAAAATTAAAATACATGCCGATATGTCATCAATATGTACTCCAAAAAAAAAAGGTAATACAAAGCCATAATATCAACCCATAATTCATTATTTAAAAAAATAATGTTATACTTACCCATGATAAAATATAGAAATAGACAAAATATACTATACATTATATCATTACATCCAAACATAAATGGCGTTCCACATGGTTGCTTATTACGCCCACATGAGCCTCTTAGATTGAGCTCCGAATGATGATTGTGCTAAGAAAAGACTCGGCAGCTGCTGGGGAGGATTTACCAGCGCACGTCCGCACACGTACAAAAATAAATATACATTACTTCAAACATACCTGAAGGCAACATAGCAATGACAGTGAAATATTTGAATTCACCTCGACGTGTCATTTGTGAACTTCAAGTCAACAGGAAATGTTTTCAAGGAGACACTGTTGGATAAATTGGACTTTTTAATATGCTATATGCATATAGTCATTGTCGCCATTGCCTTCTCAGCCATTCGTTGTGAAATTAATCAACTAAATCTGTTTATTTAAAAAAAAAAAAAAAAAAGTCTGCAAGTGAAATATGATAATCAGTTACATTATATACTCCAAGAGTGGAAAATTGGCTCATTTTCTTAACGCTGCCCTCTCACATCAAGTTTCTCGGTCTAAGCTCCTCCTCCTCTCAGCAGCGTGTACACGGCGGTGACGGTGAGGGCGGCGGCCGTGTAGGCAAAGGCAGCATTGTACAGCGTGCTGCGACCAATCCGCTCCCCCAGCGTCCTCTGGGTGTCTTCCGCAGACCCAGCCGTCCAATCGGAACCCCGCCGGTGCCCGCTTTCCAGGAGCTTCCTGACGTGGGACAGTTCGCCGCGGACGCCGCCCAGGCTTTGCCGTAGCTCTGACACTTGGGGTAAAAGGGAGTCCAGGAGTGGGGAGCGGTCAGCGGGGGGAGGACTGCTCCCCTCGGTGACGGCGGCCCCCCGCAGGGAGACCCTCAGGCTGTCGATGAGGGCCCCCAGCTCGTCCTGCTGCAAGCGATGGTTGCCGGCTTGGACTTTGAGGGCTTCCTGCAGGCTTTCCGGACCCTTCTGGGCCTCCAGCAACAGACTCTTGAGCTCCTACAAAAACACACACACACACACACACACACGCACGCACGCACACACACACA